AGTACTAGTTATTGAAATGTTTTTCCTTAAACCGTGATCTATCATGTACTAGTGTTATTTCAATATGTATTCGTAATGTTTTTGTTATTTAATGCAGTGTTTTCTTTTATTATTAATTAAAAATACCATAAATAATATGCATATTTACATTATTATTGTGAAATATATAAAATTAAATGATAGATATAATATTTATTATTTAAATATCATACTATCTAATCATTATGAAATTAATTTTCTTATTATTTTACATTATTATTATTATTTTAAATTAATTATAAGTATTATCATTAATTTAATTATCATATAATCTAAATTAAATGAAGGGACTAAAATATAAAGTAAATAAATATATATTATCATTGTTAATATAAAGTGATAATATTTTGTAAATATAAAGCAAATAGATATATTATATAAAATATAAAAAACACAAGGACCAAAATGAAATTACAAAAACATTTTGCAGTATGGAACAGTAGAAACGCATATATGCGTTCTTTGGGGAGAGAAAAGGGCCCAATACGCATTTTGCGATTGAAATTGGTGTTCGGTTGGAGTAAAATTTTCATCCCATTATGCGTTTGCAGCTCGATTGGAGTTGGTCTTAAGAAAACAAAAAATTTGAGACTCTTTGAGATTTAAAACTTTTTTAAGACTTGAGGTGGGATTTTGAGTGGACTTTCGAATAAAGTTTTTTTGTTTAGAAATCTCAGCAAATTTTAAAAAGTCTTAATAAATCATAGTCTATAATAAATTAAATACCTCAATATTTTGTAAGACTTTTTAAAAATTTTAAACAATAAAAACATTCGATTAAATATACCAAAATTTTTAAAGTATTAAAAAATATTTAGAAATGTAAGTCTCGTCGTGAAGGTGGCTTGAGAATGAAATCCCAAAGGAAGATGAATGAGACTTTGTTGAATCTTAAACTCATGCAAGCTATAAAGCCTCATTCATCTCATATTCCTATGGGATTTTGAATGAGCTTGCATGATTTTGATTCTAGAGGCTTAGTTAAATCATGCATGCTACAAATCCTCATGCAAGTGCCTCATTCATCCCATCGTTTGCATTCATCATGCAAGCTACAAAGCCTCGTTCAACTCGGCTTGTTAACCAAACATCTTCTATATGAGCTCGAACTCGGCTTGTTATAGCCTTGAACTCGAGCCAAGCCGAGCAAGACTCGTTTAATTTAACAGCAATAGTCATACATCACGTTAACTTAATTCACTATTCACCTAATTTCAAATAACTATAATTTTCAGTAACATATTTTTACTATTTGTACATCACACTAACTTTAATCATTATATTTTATATTATTTAACACACCCAAAATTCACCCAACTCTTTAGCTAGTAAACTTTATTTGAAATTAACACGCTTTAATCATTATATATAATATTATTCAATTACACACTCAAATTAAATTCACTCGACTCTTTAACTTACATGAAACAAAGACTAAAATTTTGTATGTATTCATTATTCTCAAATTTAATACTAAGTAGGAATTTAAAGCAAAATTTAAGAAGAGATTAGTTATCAAATAATTCGCAAACTTATAATGCAGATTTTGAACGGGAGTTTCGTAGCTGCTTTGCTTTAATATAGACATAGATTTAGAAACAAAATATTTGCATATAGATTTAGAAACACAATATTTCTTGGAAGAAAAATTGTTCAGAAATTAAGTCCCTACAGAAGCTATGCCGACATTAATAATTTATATTGAAAGCCAATATTGCAAAAACAATACAGTGAATAAAATTGGGGTTAATTGCACCAAACTCCCCTGTGTTTAACGAAATGTGCGCGTTTCTCCATTGTGTTTTAAAAACTGCACTAGACCCTTTTGTGTTTAAGTGACCGATGCAAACGCTCCCTTTTTTTCAATTTCTTGTTAACTGTGTTAATTTTTATACAAAAACCCCGTTATACCCTTTCAATATTATATATATATTTACGATAAATTGAATTTCTCACGATATTTTGCGAGAAATTGAATTTAAAAAAGAAAGGGCTGTCTTGCAAGTTTGAACCTGTGATCTCATATGAGCATGCAAAGCAAGCTACCACTATACCACTCAAGCTTGAGTGTTAAATGTAGTAAAGTTTAATATATATAGGCATTACATATGGATAAATGAAATTTAATTTAAAAGTAATATAAATCATATTAAATTAAATTATTAAAATATAAATATATGATAAATTAAAATATAATGAACCAAGTTATATAAAATTAACCAAACGAAAATATAAAAACAACTTATTATATTAAACAAAAACAAAATAATAAAAATAAATTATAAATAAATTTAAAAATAAAAGTTAAAATAATAACATTTATTAAATTATATTTAGATTATTTTTATATTTTATTATTTGTTGTAATTTATATTATTTTATTGCATTGTTCATTTTATATTATCTTAGTTAACAAACTTTATTTATTTTGTTTATCTTAAGATAATTTAATCAAATTATGTTAAATTTTAATAATAAAATTAGAAATTGAATTATTTTTTAAAAAATAAATCATGTACTAAAAAATTATAATTTATTTCAATTTTTTTAGTGATATTGTATGTTAGAGTAAATTATATTACACGTATTTGCTAAATTGTGTTATTTTATTATATTATAATAATTTATGATTTTTATTTACTTTAATCTATTAATAACTTATTTGATTTATTATATTATTTTATGTTACAATTTTTATATTTTATTATCTTATAATATTTTTATTTAGGGATGGCTCGTCCACGTCGTGTGATGTCTTAGTGCTCGCTTAGGCTTCGGCCTCTTATATTGTACCCAAAAAAAATAAACTTATAAATTTATTTAATTTTAATTAATGTTACTATATTAAATTTTATCTTACTTTATTTTAATTTAATTGTTACATTATTTTTATGTTAATTTAATTTATTTCAAGTTATTATTATTATTATTATTATTATTATTATTATTATTATTATTATTATTAATTATTTAATTTATATTTAGTTACCTTTTAGATTTTTATTTATTTTATTTACTTTAATTTATTATAACATAATAACTTATCTGATTTATTATATTATTTTACTTTACAATTTTTATACTTTATTATCTTATAATATTTTTAGTTTAATTGTATTTATTTTATATATAATTTTATTATCATTGTTTTTCATTTCAAAATTTATATAATTAAATTATTTTAGTAATTAAAAATTAAAAATTTATTTATCTTTAATTCGTGCTACTATATATTAAATTTTATCTTACTTTATTTTAATTTAATTGTTTCATTATTTTTATGTTATTTTATTTTATTTCAAGTAATTATTATTAATAGTTATTTAATTTATATTAATTTACGTATCAGATTTTTTTTATTTTATTTTCTTTATTTTTATTTTATTTAATCATTTTCGTATTATATTATAAATATATGTATGTTCAATAGATAACACAACATTCATGTAGCCTAGTGGCTTTGTTGGCATGCTCTTTCTTAGGCACCCCAGGTTTGAGTCCCACTCCCTGCATTATAAATTTTTGGCTTTTGCAATAAGATTCAGGAAGGTAAAATAGTAAATTAGTAATTCTAAAAATAAAAAAAATTAAATAAATCTCGCAGTTAGGAAGGTGTCACACACGAGTCACACACGAGCCGTGCAACAATTACATAAACACAAGGGGATCTGGTGCATTTTTTAAAACACAGTGGGGAGACGCGCATATTTCGTTAAACACAGGAAGATTTGGTGCAATTGCAATTTACCCAATAAAATTGCTTCGACTGTAAATATTGCTGCAACAGAAACTACACATCTCTATCTTTCCAAAAAGAAAAAAAGAACAAAAAAAAAAAAAAAAAA